AGAAAGAGAGTGAGAAAGAGAGAGAGAGAGAGAGAGAGAGAGAGAGAGAGAGAGAGAGAGAGAGAGAGAGAGAGAAACCGGAAGAGCTGTAGGCGCAATGGCGCGTTTACACATAGCATTCACCCCGTTAATGCGGTACTCGTCGCAGAGTACCATCCTCCGGTATCTCCTTTTTGCCTCCTCCCTTTTTTCCACCCTCCGATGGAAAAAGCAGGAAGAGACCGCGCGTGTATAGGCTCTTCTGGTATAAACGGCGACAAACTACAAGGACCTCCGCGTTTGTTGATCCGCTCTATCCCTCCGAATCGGTTATATGACCCATGAAAGAAGCCTTTGTTCCATTGGCAATTAATTGCAGCCGTAATGAGTTCTCGTGAAACTCGTAAATCCCCCGATGGAATTAGAGAGACGGACTCTAACATTGTGTAACGCTGCGGACCCCACTTACCGTGGCTAAGTACGATCGCTTTTGTAATTCTTCGCCCGAAGGTCCGAGGCTACGGGTGATCCGGTATCTTTATAATTTCCAATAATCGCCGCGCAAGGGGAAACTTGCCGATACGTATCGTCCATGCACGTGAGAAGATGCTGCAGCGGCACAGTCGCCAGCAGCACGTCGCTGCGAGTTTAATGACCGCGGATATCTCGCAAACATCACGTACCACGAAATACGCGGACGTGACCACAACGTCAAATGATCGCGGGCCCACCCTATTCCCTCCTGCTGGAATTCGGGGAGCAAAAGTTCAAGCACGAGTCAATGAATCCCGCGAACGCGCAGAATCCAAATAAATGTGCCTTGCCCGTCCGCAGACATTCTCTCCTCTTTTTTTCTTTTTTTCAAATATTCGAACCGAATCCTGTACGATTTTCTATTTGCGCCAATTTGGAAATGTTCACTTGATCCGAGGAGACTTAGAGACTTGGCAGACTTGGTGAAATTTTCGAAAAAAAAAAATAGAAAAGAGGTGGACGACGAAGGGCAAAAGTGAAAATTCGAAAGGAATTCGGATTGTTTGCGCGACGCGCTTTCTCTTGTCGCTCCTCCTCGGTGGATGCCGGTGACTGCGCGTAAATTATGCAGGATGTATCTTCGCGGGGGCGGAAGGAGAAAGGCATTGTGGGTCGTCGACGAAGTGTAAGCATCTGTACAAGTGGGGAGTGTCTGGGCGGAGCCGAGAGACTCAAAGCTGACTTTTTGCACGACCATTGCAACAGTTGGCCCCTTTAAGGCACTACAAGAGCCGCATGCTTCACTACGAATTCTCCCTTTAACGCGTTTCATAAGCAATTACTCGACGACGCCGTGTCGTTACTCATGGTTGTTTAGGATCTGGGGTGGCTCGCGCAGCAACAGGCCTGTTCGTACGTTAAACGCCCGTGGATTGCACCGAAACGAAACTAAGTTGCTCTTGTTACTTATTTATCGAGCTACTTTATCAATAAAGTCGATGAATTTAGTTTTCCTAGTGGAACTGCAGCAGTTTGTCCCTTTTTGAAAGGGACTATCTGTGGGAAGACACGGTTCCATCTTCGTTTGATAACTTCCACGAGCGACTATTCTCAGCCACAGTTACTACACTCTTGCCAATCTTTGAAACACTCCAGTTTAGTATCATTGGTCGTCCGTGACACGTCGTTTCTCGAGGAGAAGCGAGCAGTTCCTTCGAACAGAAATGAAACGTTGAAATGAAAATTCTAACGAATCGACGTTACCAATTTTATTGTGATAGAAATGCTCTTTAAAACGGAAACACTTTTGTTTATTACGAAGCGTTCCCTGTTTTCAGCGCGCGGAAAGTCGATTCAAACCTACCGTCTCATTCATTGTCTAGTTTAGCAGCACTTTGGTCTGAATATTCATAGCTCTAGCCCCATCTCAGGCCCCTTGAGTAAATATCACTCGAAAAGTTCAACAGGGCTTTTACGTCAACTGCAAGAGTAGCTAGTGCTTCCACATTAGTAGAATCGGGCACTGATTATCATTACAAGACAGTTGTAACGTCCGCAAGAGCGTTATGCTTGACAAAAATTGAGGAGTTACTCGGAAGAAGCACTCGCTTGTCGAGATGTGCCTTTATAATTTACAGATGTTATTATATATGCTTCTAAATTGCCAATAATTTTGCTGTAATATTCCATTTACTGTTAGATATCAAAAGGTTGCTCAATTTTATGGGCCTTACATCAATACCTCGATTTTATTTCTGTTTTGAATATATCGAAACACGATTTCCGTAAATCCGTGACGCCCTTCTTCCGAATAACTCTTCAATTTTATTGTTATCATGATAACAAAGTCCTCGCATACTTCACCGCGTATATACATATATGTATACATATATGTGGCGTGCGTGACAAAACGATCATTTACGGGTGAACAAAAAACAAAATCCTACGTCGCCAGCAAGCTTCACCTAAAAAAAA